CGTAAAACGTAAAACGTAAGCCGTGAACTGTGAACTGTGAACCGTAACCCTTCGCGCACCCGCGGTATCCCTTATCTAGCAACCTGAGCGAACCCAGTCTAGATGAGCTTACCCAATTATGAAACATTAAAAATACGCGCATATAAATCGCTTCATTTTTATGCGCAATTATAGCAGGGCTGCGACTGCGGCCCCCCGTACACGTTGCTCGGGCTGCCGTCTCCGTCGCCGACTCTCAATTAACTTAATTCCCTTTTGCATAAACTGGCTGGGAGACTGATGCTGTTGCTGTTGCTGTTGCTGATGCTGTTGCTCATTTGGCCCGACACATTCCTCATGTATTTTTTATTTATTTTATATTTCAACGATTATTCAGCATCACCCGCGGAAACTACTCAACCGTGTGCACTTTGGCCAAAAGTGTCAAATGTAAAGTGGAAGAGGAAACTCACGAAACGAATAGACAAAAAAAAATTAGCTGGCAACGCTCTACGCACCATTGTGCCCGGAAGTCGAGGCACATAAATAAAAAATGCAGCAAAAAAAAACAAAACAACAACAAGTTATACACAGATATATATGTTTATGTATATTAAATGCTGTCACTATGGAAAATGCGTTCGTTTGGCTAATGCGATTTTAGACAACGGCCTCCAACTGGCTGGCCGTTAGGCGAGCTCCAACTTCTAGTTAACGAAACAGACACCGACCCGCATTTGGGTCCGCCGTGTGGCTCTCTAATGGGATTACGACGCTGTCAGCGTCAAGAATAAGAAGAAGATGTGGCAGTAGTTCACGTCTCGACTTTCTAGCTGATTATCTGGCCAGGTTGACAGCAAAATTCAGCGCGGTCGCGTAGACTGCGAACAAAGGCGGCAATCGTTCGACCGAGATGTAGCTAAAGCTGGAGACGATGGCCAAGACAAGACGTTAATATTATTATACGCTTTGTAAACAAATTATGAATTATGTTGGATAAATAGAAAAACTTAATAATAACTTGATTGCGGCATTTGGCTGGCTTCTGGCTCCTGGCCTCTGGCTGCCGCCGCCGCTGTTGCTGCCAGTTGGCCTTAACATTCTCAGTGCTGTGTTGCTAAAATGGCCAAAATGGGCGACAGCAACAAATACACTGCACGAAAATGTAACCAACATATTGGCAAAGCTGCAAGCTGGTTGCTGCAAACCTGAAAATCAAATTTTTCATATGGCATGGAACCACGATTAGTTCGAACTGAACCGAACCAGCAAACATTTTGGTGAGGCTTGTAGTAATAATAAAAGAAACCTATAAATATAAAGAATTTCATTAATAATAAATGAAATTTAAATATGTGGAAACCTGGTTTTACGAAGCAAAATTTAAAGCAATGGAATTACTTTAAACCGTGATTCCATCTTTGTGGTAATTCTTAAGAATTTCAACTAATCGATTGATTGATATACCTTATTATTATTATTATTATTGTTTTTATTATTGATTTTATGATGGATGGCATTCCATTTGTGAATTTCGATTGTGTTCCGCTAAGACCTTAAAATATTTTGCACAGTGCTTTCGACCATCTTTATTTCCGGCTCTGACCAAGAATATGGTCAATGCTGGGCATAGGCATAGGACGAACGCGTCCTTTGGTTTCCATGGGTCTCTGGCACAGACTCAGCCTCGGCCTCCACCGCGGCGTCTATGCATGGTAACTGTGGCGGCCGCCGGCACTGGCGGCACGTTAATTATGGCACAAAAATGGCCAAATTGTGCTGGCAAAATACAAAATGCTTAGCGGGGAGGCGCTATCTGGCGTCGGAAGGGGGCGTGTCCGGACGCGCACATTGCAGGTTGTGTTGCCAGCGACGACGACGACGACGACGTCGACGAATGAAAGAAAATGTAAAAACAAATTGAAAACTTTTCCACGATATAAATTTGCATTTATTTTGAGCGCTCTTTGTTGGGTGTCCCTTGGAACTTTGGAACGGACTCGCCTGGACTGTCGGCTCTCGAAGCTCTCAGCTCTTCAGCTCTAGTATCGGCAGACACACTGTTAGGCGGCTTGTATATAGCTAAATATACATACAAATATATATACAAATTGCTTAAATCGAAAAAGTTTTGCTCCTTTTTTATATACGCATACACAGACACACTCACACACACACATACACATACTAAATAAGAATATATATTTTAGCAGCAAATACAGCTACGAAGGCAATAACCGAACCGAACCGAGCTGAGCTGTCCCCGTCGAATGAGAAATCCTGCGCCTTGTTAGCGGACCAGCTCCACAAAGTCGTGAATAGCTGCTTTAACCAGATGGAGGACCTGCAGCAGCTGTTGTTGTCACATTGTTGTTGCCGCTGCCACTGTGCGCTACCTTTTTGAATATTTATGAAAAACTGAAACGTTTTAGCGCGCGGCCTGCTGCCCCTTGTAGCATTTGTCCCCTTTTGTACCCTACGCATAATGCAGACAGAGAGTATGCCGACTTCTTTTCAGTCTTATCTTCGGTTATCCGATTTAACTAATCTATATTGTACTCAGGCTAAGTTAGCCGATTATATCTTTAATTCTGTTCACTGGCCGTATTTTATTTGAGCATAAGATTTTCTGGTCTTGAATTTTTTTTTTTTTTTGTTTCTCCACTGGGATTTGGGGACCTATTTTAAATTTGTATACAACATTTTTTTAATCAAAGCAAATCAAAAATCTAGCATTAAAACAATTAATAATTCAGCATATCGCAAATTTTGAGAATATCATTTAAAAATTCGTATATATTTATATGTGTTATATTTTATTTATATATAATATATATGTTATATTTATGTATATTATACTTTATTAAAGAATTTTTTTAAAATTCTGTTTTAAAAATTTAAATATATTATTATTTATTCATATTTTAATTAAGGATATGTTTAGAACTTTAATAACATATATGTATATATTATATTTATATTATATATATTTTTTTTTTTAGGATTACATATGTGCGAATTATTATATATATATGTATATATTATATAATATATAGTATAGATGTTTTTAAAGATTTTTTTGGAATTATATTTATTTTAAGATTGCTAAAGAATTATTTTATATTTGTATATAAATTATATCTGATATTAGATTATACTTAAGCATTTTTTTATCAAATTATATATAGAAATATACTTATAATCTAGGATAATTGTAAGCTTAATCATGAGAAGCCAAAAGTCTTTTGGGCTTTGGGGTACGTGAATAGCTTTTTTTTATTAAAACTAATCATTTATAGGGTATTTGACAAAGAAGCTCTCACGGCTTGCTGGGTATAAGCAAGTAAAACATTCGCAATTTCGAGCACTTGTCCTTGTGTGTATTTTTTATGTTATGTCTGTTGGTTCCTTTCCCACTTGTTAGTTAACTAATTGTATTTTTTAAGTCCCTTTTGCTGTTGTTGTTGTTGTTGTTGCGGATGCTTTTGTCGCGTTTCGTGTTAGTGGGAACCGCCCACGCACAAAAATGATTTAAGTGCGCCTTCATTAATTACGTTTTACCGCAGCGTTAGCAGCTGTAGGGAAGGGTGGCAGGTGGGCGGTAGGCGGTAGGCGGTGGGAGAGTGCCCCTGTGGCAGGTTGCAGTGATTTGCGGAATATAAGTGGTTGAGTACGCCAACAGCCGTAGCTGCTGAAACTTTAATAGACCGTATTTCAGCATAATTAACACGGCAAGCGTATGAATGATGCATGACAAATCGCTGCGGGTGAATGATGCTGGCAAATCTGACAGCGCCGCCAGCAGTCGGCAGGCACCGACAATCAGAGTAACCACCTGCTCCCCCCACCTACTGTGACCGTCCTAATAATTGCGAACGGTTAAATGTAAATTGAGATTAAGTTAGGCAAACCCAAACCCTGCCCCACACCTTTCGTTCCTGTGCTGCTTGTTGTGCGTCGGCAACCGGAGCATTTTTAATGCACAACTCTAAAGGGTCAACATTTTTTCCACCAAATGATATGCGAATAGGGAATTGCTTAATGATAGCTGGACAGTAATAAGTGGAGCGTTTGCGGACCCTAACAAGATTTCAGATCAAGTCTGATCTCTAAGAGACACCTTCTCGAACTGTGCCCAGTTTCTGCTCTCGACTCTAGTCTGATCGATGAAAGTTCAGATAAACAAATAAATATAAATGAAAACAATTGTGTTCTAGGCGAAAGTGCCCGACTGGTAGATACCCTGTAATCCGCGCCAAGAACCTGAGTTCATAAAATTATATATAGTAAATTACATTAAGTCGAGAGTGCTCGGGACATCTTTATAAAGAATACTCTTCAACGTATGCCAATTAAAAAAGAATGCAAACTGTTAAATTGGTCGATAAAACAGATTACGAACGGAAACCGCAACAGCAGCATGTCCAAAACTATGCTATAGATTTGCAGCAACGCCTGTGGCTAGCCCTGAAAGTAGACCCTATATTTGGGGACACTGTGCGGCACACCTGAGCTGAGCTGAGCAGAGCTGAGCAGAGCTGAAGAACCGGTCGCCGATTGACTGACCCAATTAACCAAAAAGCTCATCGCATGGGAATGTTTATTATCGAGCCCGTAAACAAATCCCGGTCGCAGTCCGAGTACCCAGATCAGAACCAAAACCAGTCGAAGAATTTCACAGCGTTTCGGGCTTGGCAAATGCGATATTTCGACCGTATAATGCACGTCATCGATGCTTTGCTGTCCGATGTCCGCCGTTTGTAGATATTTTACTTTGCCAGCTCAATGCGAATGCAAATTAATGCTACATCACATGTCATTTTGGCAAATGGGGCTTAGAAATTTATGCATTTGCTGCGCTGATTTGTTGCAGCCGGCGAGACTCTACGCGATTTTGTGATAGCTTCATATAAATGAGTTGCAATTGATGCTGAGCAGCGCATTTAATGCTGATCACAGCGCTGGATTAGACACACGCTCCCCCACCCCCAATATCCTACCTTCCCGATCAGTCCAGCATCATGTACGGGCAGACGAAAAAGCAGCCGCTGCTGCTCTTCATCAGCTTTGGCTGCATTGCGGCCACTTTTGGCCAGAGATTGCCTGTGCCCACAGAGCAGCTGCTGGCGCCCGGCCTGCCCTTCGCAGAGAGCTTCGAGATCTTCGACGGCAATGTTGCTGCTGCTGCTGGTGCTGCTGCTGGCGCGGACGACGACGACAATACACGGGAACAGCTAAGGCAAGTGCTCGGGCAACAGTTGACCGGCGCTGTGGCACCGTTGACAGCGACGCCGTTGGCCGTCCTAAGTCGCCGCCAGCCGGCCATTGTGGCGCCCAGATCGGGCGCACAGGCTGCACAGCGCTTTGCCGACTCTGGTGACGAGGAAGAGTCCAGCGAGGAGGACAGCGATGAGACAGAAAACGAATCGGACACCGACACGGACACGGATACGGAAACGGACACCGACGCGGCACAGGAGCCGCAGCAGGAATACAATCCGTATCGTGACAATTTTAACGACCGCAACGAGGACGGCAGCTACGTATTTGGGTGAGTCACCGCCAGCAGCCAATGCAACCCACTCGCTAACCCACTCAACCGCACAGCTACGCGCTGCCAAACGGCGTGCGCCGCTGGGAGCGTGGCTTCTATTCGAAGCAGCAGCAGCATGGTCTGGTGGTCGAAGGCTTCTATGTCCAGCCTCGTAATTACGGTCATACAACTCAATATGAGCTGCGCTGCTATCGCGCCGATGCACATGGCTATCATCCGCTGGCAGGTATATATATGAATATACGGATATACTTATATATGCATATGTATATATACTTATGTACACCAAAAAAACCCAACTCCTTTCTTGCAGTGGAGTACTTGACGCAGCCGCCTCGTGTGCGCCGTGATGAGTTGCCAAATGTGCGCTGTTTGAAATTTAATCGATAGCACCGATAACGATAACACAAGATGTCTATCTATGTCTGCCGAGATGCTAAGCTCGATTTTTTTTTGTGCACGTAATAAAATCAAATAAAAGGAAACTTGAAGTTTTATTTATTGGGCAAGGTTTATTATGTGAAATAATAAGAATAATAATTATATGAATATTTTTTTATTATATTTCCTACGTTTGCCATGTGAAATGTGCAAGCTTAACTTCGATATTGTTGATAGTAATAGTATATTTTATTATAAAAATAAGAATAATTACTCACATAGGAGAAAACAGATGCCATATAGATATATCTATCACCATATACAAAAACAACGATTTTGCGGCTTGGTTTTGTACTTTATTCAAATATCCTGTTTACCTCGATCTTTCACAAATTCTTTAAATAATATCCATTAAATACATATTCATTTCCATATATATGATGCATTTGGATATCGAAAGGAAGGTATACGAATTTGACGCGATTCTTCTCTGAAGTATCAAATGATATCTCCCTCATTCTCTCGCTCTCTCGATTAAAATATAATAGATCATATACCCTATCTTTATTGAAATGAGTATGTGCTAGCGTGCACAGCCGCCTGATGCCCTTTGAGTCCATCTTGTAAATAGATCCTCTATATAAAAAACGTGAGCCAAGTAAACCAGTTTTCAATTTAGGGTTTGTTTTGTGTGTGTTTCGCTGTTTGTCTGTGTGACAGCACCACGAGCGGAATATGCAAATAGACGACACTGGGATGATGTTACTTGTGAAATAAACAAAACTTGTGGCGATATTCGCCACAAAACTTGGCGCTCGTTTGTTGATTTAGGCCAATTTGTATTTAAGCAACAACAATAACAAGACAGCCACAGCAGAAACAACAAGAACAACAAAATATATTGACAATAGAATAGCGGATGTGACAAGAACCACCCACACCCCACACCCCACCATCTACCCATCCCCTTAACGCTGGCAGCAAGCGGCAAAAGACAATTGCTTAGAATTTGGAGCCCAAGTTGTAGTCGACAGCGGATTCTGTTGCGGGAGCCGCCGCACAAAAGGCGCCTCATCAACGCAACCAGCAACAATGACAGCTAACAAACCGTTAAGTGCCGCAACAAATCGCCAAAAATTGAAAACTGTGGGAATACGAATACACACGACGCCAGACGCCAGACGCCGGCCACAAAGCCGCCGAACAGCTACCAGCCCCACCGCACAGACCCAAACAAAGCAACAGCGACGCACCCACACAAAGAGATAGAAATCTCGGTCTCCCAAAACAAAACAAAAAACCAAAAACAAAAAAGCCAACCCAAAAATAAACTCAAAAAAAAAACCAAAATAAAATTAAAGAACGTTATACAGTCACCAAAAAGACAATAAAAACAAATAAACAGTGTTCTAAAATGCCATGTGAATTTAACTGGAAACGTGGCTAGAAACAGGGCGCCGAGCACAAGGAAGTAACATCTTGGGCCAGGGATGGCTGGAAACGCAAAGCGTATCGTAATTAAAGTCTACAAATTACAGCTAAGTAATAATGATGATAATAATAATAATTATAATTATAATAATAATAATAATAAAGAACATAAAATTATAAAATATTATATAGTACAATATAAATCCCAATAATGTTACGATGTCTTACGTTGAAAGTTTCTTTAAATAAATATAAAATAAATAACCAGAGCTGTAAAGAAGTCGGTGGTTCAAATTGCGATTCGAAACCCTGCTTTGAAATGCGGTTTGTAATCGCGGTTTTTACATTTTCTTGAACGCACGGTTTTTGTTCAAACATATATCTTGAATAATATACATAATATAACATTTTACATAATATAAATATCCGATTCGGGTTTCGACTTGGCTGTTTTTGGATCAATTAGTTTGATTTAAGGTTTGGTTTATAATAAAAAATAAATGGAATTCTGGACTGAAACCAGTTTGGCTCAAGCCGGGTTTGATGCTTTGTAAATTATGTAAAAAATAACTTGATATTTAAAAGGATTACAAATAATTAATACCGAAATTCGATGAGTATTCAAAGAAGTAGTGAGAACATATAATATATAAATTAAATATAAAAATCAAATTTAATTGATGATAAAGTGGACTTAAAGTTAGACTAAGATAATTATATCTATAATCTAAGTCTAACTCTAAGTCTACTTGTAAATCAAATTTAATTCGATTTGTATCTTTAGATAGTTATATCTATAATCTAAGTCTAACTCCTCTATGTCTACTTCTGGCATAATAAAATTGAAGCATTGAAATTTCTCCTCTTTAAAGCTGAGCTCTTCGGTCAATTTCATAGCTAGCATCGATAAAGAAGTTATAATTCAATTTAAGCTGAGTAGAACTTATTTGTCTGAGTCCTGCTGCCGAGAATAACTCGCAGGCCTGAGCTTAAGTCAAGTGACGCTGCTCTATTTAAAGCTAGACGACGTGCGATACCCCGTAGACAGCTCTGAGAAGGCCTGAAATCCTAGAGGAAGGATATACAAAAATTAAAATATTCCCAATCTGTGCATACTATACGAAAAGCTTAGGCTTAAAATCTGCAAGACACGGTCAAACGCAGGAGGTAGATATCGGGAAAATGAAGAGAGCAGAAAGAAAATGCTTGAAATGCAAATAGTTAACGGATAATACTAGTTTTCCACCTGCCTCTAGAGGTTGCCGATGTTGTCTTCTGCACAACTTGATGATACCCTCGTTTTTATTCATGTTCAATGTACATATATATTGGTGGCAAATAGCTGTTGCATACCGAAAGGTACAAAGCAGCTGAGCGATGCGCCGTGTTGGTGTTTGGCTCCTGGCCGAGCAACCCCCTCTCGCATTCTCTCGTCGCCATGCTCTTGGCCGCTGTCTTGGCCCTGAGGCGAATGTCAACTGACTAAACATGTCCGTGTCCACGTCCATGGCCATGTCCGTGTCATCCTGCAGTCTACATCGCCTAAGAACTACAACAAAACATTCGAAACATATATATCATAGAATGTGTGTCAAATGTCGTCGTCGTCGTGGTCTAAGTTGTTGTTGTTGTGTTGCTGGCGGCAAGTTTTGGCTAAAAAGTGTTTGACTGATGCAGAAATTTTTGCGCAAACAACTAAATAACTCAAGTTGCCGCCAACTGCGCTGTGAAAATCATGCAGTAATCAAGTGGAAGCCAGAAACTTGCAACAAACTTTCACGCAAGCAGACAGACTGACAGACAGACAAACGGGCAGACAGACAGACGGAGACGTGCAGAGTAAAAGCAAGTGATGCACATACAAACGCGTTTTGGCCTATAATTGAGCAATTTACACCAAAACATGCCACAGGATATGTAGGAGGAGGAGGAGGGGGCAGCAGCAGCAGCAGCAGAAGCGACTCTTTAGTTGGTTAGTCCGGGCTGCTGACCCGAGTCGACACTTGACTGGGAACTTTTGACTTTGTTGTGGAACTGGGCCATCATCAAACAGTGCGTCGACATGGCTGGAATGTGATAAAAATGCTGAGATTATGTAACCGAAATACTTTCAAATCGAAATCGACCAATATAAATTCATGGCTCAGACACTTGCACATACCACACTGGGGCCGGGCCATCGACTGCCATGTCTGGGATTGGGGTTGAGCTTTAGGTTTGGGCTTGGGCTTGAAACAGGGGCCGCTGCTACTTGGCAGTTGGAAACGCTGCACGGAAATGCTGGCAAATGAAATATTGTGCAAAATGCCAGCGCACAAACAAGCTGAGTTGCCATTTCGGTTTGCCATTGTCCCCACTGGAGGGACCCGGGAAAGAACAAGAGCGAAAGAGAGGGAGATGGAGATGGAGAGGGAGAGGGAGAGGGAGAAAGGAAGCTATATTGGGTGTCCCGGGTGCTAGGCAGCTAGGCAGCTGTCCCGGCTACGGATCTGTTCTGGCCACGGCCGCACACAAAACTTGAAACAATATTTTATGCTTATATGGGTAAAAATATTTATTAGTTTGTTGTTTTGCGTGCAAGTGTGTGTGCGTGTGTGTATTTGTGTGCGCTCTCATGTTGACAGCGGATTTGCAGCTGCAGTCAGCGGCCGCAGCGCCATTTGAATTCATTTTTTATGGCGCTGCATTTACAGCCGCGCGAATGCCACTTGGGAATTGTTGTTACCCCATCCTCTTCTCGCCAAGTGTGTGCTCGGTGGCGCATTAAAAGGCCCCCCATCTTGGCGACCTAACGGTGCCTGGGCCCGAGTGGAACTGCCGGCTACGATCTGTCAAAATTCAGCCGAATAAAACGTTTAAATTTATTAATAGCGCTTTCAGCTTGACGTGTGGAATTTAATCCGCCTAAGTGTCTGTCTGACTGGCTGGGTTACCTGCTAATTGCACTCGTTTAATGACCAGATTACAACCGGTTGCCAAGAGAACTGTAACACTTACGACACCTACGCAAAACAAAATACTAAAACAGAGTCAGAGCCAGAGCCAGGGCTAAGGCCAGAGAGGAAGAGAGAGAGAGAGAGAGAGCAAGGAGTGACTGCCTTGCGCTTTAATCAGGTGAAGTTCGCAGCAGTAATGTTCAAGGAACACGCTTTTAGCTGCAGTTAATATTCCAAAAGTTCTTTTGCCCTAATTGTAGTCATTAATTATTTATGAGGAAAAATGCATTAAGCACAAGCAATTTATTTGCGATTGAAAAACATTTCTCGTAGCAATCGCTAAACAATTACAGATTCATGCATCGCTTATCTCAAAAGAAGTTCATTAATTAGGTATTAGCTCATCCAGCAATCAATCAATCAATCAATCGATTCAATAAATAACGCACTGTGACATCAACTTAAAAAGTACAAATATTTGAGTTTTTTTTATGATTATAAATTGCATCTTATGATTAAGTATTTCTTTGAAAATTCAAATTTCTCAAATTCGAGTTTAGCTCAAAACAGTGAAGAAGTGCAGTGGAAAGCTACTGACTACGCGATACCCTGTTTGCAGTTTAAACTAGTTAAGTTATTTTATGTACTTTTTCTCAAACAAGCACAGCCACTGAGCTTTACCTTCTCCTACTCTGCTCTCCTCTGAATCCATCTTCAATCCACTTAACCCATATTTTCTACCAAAACAGTTGACTTTTGTTATCCACAGCAAATTTTTCAGCTCATATTTCAGTTAATTTTTCAATACACTTTTATTCTCAGCTTCTTTTTGGTCTGGCTTAAATTCTTTATATATCTTAGATAAATGCCAGATTTTTATTTTTTAATTTTAGTATTCCAATCTTAAACAATATTTATAGCAATTTTATTTGAAATTAATTAACAGCAGCTGATTCTCAACCCAAAGTTATTCCCCTTTCGTAATAGGCCCTAAATCTATTCAATATACTGCATGCATATACACCCATTTTCCCACTGAAAACAGGGTATTATAATATACAAATGTGCACAGTCGCTGTAAAAACTCATTGCATCCATAAATCGATTTATCAATCAATTATTTGAGATATTAATTATTATTTACGTAAAGACATTAAATGAAATATTTAATAAAATTTGCGGTCGATTAACATTGTGCACTGCGAGCGCACAATAAATGATTGAGTCTATTATACAGACATGTATATGTTTTGGTAGATTTATGTATATTATGGATGTGAAGTATGTAGGTGAAGTGAACACTGCTTTAAAACTGATTTTACATATAGTCAAGTTTTTCATATGGCAAGTCGAGTAAATTTCATTAAATTGTGTGGCAAAAAAATAACATGTAGTGCTCCAGGCGGGAGTGTACGACAAAAAGATACCTTGCACTCAGCGCTGAGCTGAAAAATAGAATATATATAGGCATATATATAAATAAATATTATATGAAAAACGATCTTTAATATGTTAACCAAATGTGTGATAATATCAATATACTTAAAGATATGCTTGATTTTCTTTTGTGAGCCTATGTGGAAAAGTGTAAAAAAAAAGATAAATATTCAGAATTTGTATAGCATACATATAGGGAGAACCTTCAAATTTAAAGCGTCTATTTTTAAAATATTCGGAATGTGCGTTATTATTATGAAATATGTCGATATTATGAAAATCGATTTATAAAAAACAAGAAAATCGTTCTGCTAAAAACTCTCTTTGGCGGACTCCGCTCCATAGAAGTGTCCACTTGAAAGAGATGGAATACCTATCGATGAGACATTATCAGCCCAAGAGAGAAGGACTATCCTGGACTACTGTGTAATACAATTCAAGATTTTAGCCGAGCTCAACCCGTTCACACAGACAGACAGATAAGACAAGACTATAACGACTCGGCGCATCGTCCTGATCAAGATGTGGCCTTCTGCCTGTTGCATAGATTTGAACAAAATTGCAAATACCCCTTAGAAGCAGTCAGTGCAGGGTATGGAAAGACAACCATAAATATTATTATTTATTATTATTACTGTTATTATTGCTGCCCGCTGACAGACAATTGAAATGGGCCAAATTTCAATTGCTGGCAGACGCCTTTTTGTTCCAGTCATCGATTAAATATAATGCACATTGTTGATGACTCTGCGGAGTGCTCTGACTGTCAGGCATTTATCATCCACCAGCCATCAGGCATCAGCCAGCAGCCAGCAGCTGGGCAACCATTGTCGCCATTGTCAAGGACACACACAAGTGTTCGACAATATGGGGGGAGGGAAAGAATAACTGAAAATCGAATAGAAAAAAAAGAAGAAGAGGCAAGACAAGCAAAAGGAACAAATGGACGCACACATTTGGCCAAATTCAATGTCCACGAAATTCGGCGACGCACTTTTAGCATGGAGAGCGGCAGCTGTCGATGGGAACAGTTGAGCCATTGGTAGGTAGGATGACGTGGCCCGCTGGTCTGGTCAATGAACCGTGGCTCCGAGTCGGGGCCATAACTGTGGCAATGGCTGCTTCTGTGCTTCTGTAGCCGACACACATTACAGCCGCGGGCGGTACAACAAAACAAATACACCGGCCAACAAGATTCAGGTTCAACTCAAAATCGAAATCAAAATACCCAGCAAAGAACTCGACTGCAGACACAAAAAAAAATAAATAAAGAAGAAAAAAATCATAAATGCTGTCAAAATCACAAAGCCATCAAGACGCTTAGTGCAGAGCTCCAAATTCCGAACGGGCTGCAGGATGCGCAGGGTGCGGCTGTTCGGGGCACAGATGCGTATGCGACATTGGGTGTTTGGGATTTGGTTGGGATTGAGGTTTTTTGGGGCTGAAGAGTGCCAAATCATTGGCACTGACGTGTGAGTTTATTATTATTTTGTGTGTGTGCTTTCTTTGACTTCTTTGGCTCCGTTGACTTTCGCAGCACATTTCTCATCTTCAGTGGCAAAAGGCTTCGCTCTGCCGAATCGTATAAAAGGCCGCCAGCCGTCTGGCCAAGGAATCAATTATTGAATCCACAGCCAGGCATCCAGTTCGAATTGAGTATGTTGCGTCGTGCCCCCATGTCAAAATCGTGCCTGCAGCTGCTGCAATTGCTGTTGCTACTCGCAGTCAGCCTGTGCGCCGTGCAAGCGCGCTGGACACTGCGCCCCAGGCGCACCACCACTACCACCACAACAAGTACCACTTCCATGCCTGCGCAAAGTGACCGGCATCAGCATGTGCATCACTGGCCACCATTAGTGGCACCGCAGGCGCCACAATCACAACCACAACCGCCTGGCCTGCAGCTGCTGCCCACGTTCACCGACAACAAGGACAACACCCGACTTATTGATAGCTTCGATCAACGCTCGCCCGATGGACAACACGAGTACAGGTGATGGCAATTAACCAGCTGTTGCAGTTTGGGCTTTTTGGTTTCTCTTTAATTAATATCCTACGCCTCCTCCTTGTCCTCGTCCCACTCTGCAGATACCAGCTGAGCAACGGAGATACGCGCTATGAGCGCAGCTACTGGCTGCCCGTGGGCAAGAGCTTTGTGCTGGCGCGTCGTGGTTACTATTCGATGCCACTACCCAATGGTCAGTATTCGACCGTATTCTATAGGGCCGATCACCAGGGCTACCATGTGGACACGCGTAAGTAGTGTTCGGCGTACCAATCCCTAGCTGGGATTGGGGGCTTCAGTGTGCAACCGAGCGTAAAATTTTATGCCCAAAACGCAGACACATTATCCGGCGAGCAGCCGCTGCTGCCCCGCACCCTCGATGTGCCACATGATGTGGCAGCCATGAAGTCAACGCCAACAGCTAAGCGAAATTCAATAAGCGTGCCAGAGCGTAACGACGAAGAGTTGGCCCAGCATCCAGATGCCATGGCCGTGGGCATCAACACTTCCCGAACGAGCACCAGAAGCGGGAGCACAGCCAAAGGTCAAACTGAAGCTGATGTCCGCCTGGAAGCAAATGTAAGTGGCCATGGATGCCTCTACCACAGCCACTGTCATTCCCTCTGACTGTGAAATACAAAAAAACATGTTACAATTGCAGAACCAAACACAGACCCAGATCCAGCACCAGAACCAAACCAAGCCATCAACTGTGGCCACAGTTGACGACATTTTTGCAGCTAAACTTGGCACAGCACCAGCTGAGGATGATGATGATGCTGATGATGATGTTGTTGTTGGTGATGATGATGATGATGTGGCAGCCAGTAACATTAACGTAAACTGAAAGCTAGCTGAATACGAGGGCGTGAATGTGAACGCGGATAAGTTTGGGGTTGGGCATGGGAACTTTGTCGTAAGCACGGTCGGTAAAGTGACATCAAATAGCTGCACGTGTGGCTGGATCTGCTCCACTGGCAAGAGCCATGGGGCTTTTCGCTTTGCTCTGCTCAACTGCCAGGCTTCGGTTGCTCCAAATCAAATTGAAGCAATTGCCGCAGCGAGAGACATCATTGAATGCTGCCCCCGAAGAGCTCGAAATTGAGTACAGCTGAGTTGGCCCTGTCGAAAATCATTTTTGGCTATTGGCTGTTGGCTGTTCCGTAACACAATTTGCCACCAAGACGACAACAGACCGATAGATCGAAAATATGAACATATATAGACGACAGGACCATGAGACCGAGTCACCAAATACCCAGTCACCGATACACATCATCAATTGCTCACATTACGCCCGCATCAGCATTGGCTTCAACAGGCTTCGAATTCAATTTAAGCAAACAAAATATAATAAAAATTATTTCAAATATATTTCCATAAAAACACACCTACATTTCGCCCTTTCACATTCAATTTTAATGTATTTTTATTGCAATTTTTCAATTCAATTAATCAAAGTCCATAAATTGCTTTTGCCATTCGAAAAGTGGCCGGCGAAGCTCTTTGCTCGCAGAAAATTGTTGGCTCTAAAGTAAAATTTCTTGGCCTGCAAATTTCTAAGCTTTTCTCTTCTCTGGTAGGCAAATCACTTTAAATATGTGGAATTATCTAACAAAGGCTGTTATCGAAATCCTTAAAAGTGTTGTGTAAGGAAAGTACATGCAAATTTGACTAGGTGGCAACACTGGTCATCAATCTCCAACCCCGAAATTATTTATAATATGGAAAATGTTGAGTAAATTTTTAGTTTTTGATTTTAGCGTTGGGTGATTTAATTTAACCAAAAACCGAGTCCAAAATTTTAAAGTTCGCCCTCGTGTTTAACCTGGAACTTCGATATATGTATATATAATTTAGTTCAAGGACATGTGATTGCTTATATAGGTGAAAATTTTAAATATGAAAAAGAATTTCTTCCCGAAACCCTTTGAAGTTGACTGCACTGCAGAAATCTAAGAGACCCAATCTAAACGATACAACATGCGACTAGTTTAGGGGAAATTAAAGTTACATATACATAAATATGTACGATTTTGGCTGACCGGTTAATCGAATAGGAAGCTGAAATTGTCGGTGGGGTTCTGGAAAAGTGGACCAGCAAGTGGGGAAAACGGGGGTTAAGTATTGTATGCAAAACATCAGCATACATCATGTGACGTCATGAGACTGAATGACTCACGAAGGCAGTCGGTTTAAATTCAGCAGCATGTCCTTAAATATTTAATTTCTTATTACTTAACAATAATTTTAGGGAGTACAATAACTAGAAGACTAGTCATTTATAAATAGTTAAAATATTTATATATTTGATTTAAAATGGAAGAAAATTAATTGAACTATAATACAACTAGCCGGGCCAACACAATCATAAGCTAAGTATAGGAGCAGTCCCCTATATAGGCACCAGCAGTTCCATTCAAATTGCAGACTCGTACTTACATAGTTGCCCACAAAGTGCATTACTGACTTGCCAGTGCGCTGAGCCAATTTAGTGGGTGGTTGAGTGGTGCACTTATTAGGGATACTGAATGCCAGACTTGGCCCTAAATGCATATGATTAGCCTCGTGGTGTGACAACAATAAAGAGCTTGCAGCTTGCAGCTGGCTGTCTGGCTGTTGCAAACGCATTCCAATTTTTAGCCATAATCAGCGCCAAGTTTGAATTAATGGGCCGCACCATTCAATGAATGGGCGGGCCATCATTTGATGATGGCCTAAACATGACATTATGAGACGCCAGACAAAAAGCCCATTTCGCACACTCACTTTGAGCTGTTGCCGGAACTACGCTTCTGTATTGTGTGGTGCCCATTTAAATGGCGTCTCTGCGAAGCCAAATTGGGTGATGCTAGTTGGAACCTGGTTTGGTTGCAAGCACTGTCTGAAAGACACCGCCAGCGGACAGATTGTCAGCAGCAAATCGGTGAGCATTCATAAAACTGACAGCGGTAACCGCCAGCAGAGTGGGCGTAAGACGGGGGCTGCCTTTCCACTACGCCTACCTTTGTCATACTTTTTATGCCAAGCATCCTCCAGGGAATAGGGTTGCTCGTAAAAAGCACAAGGAGCAGCTACAGCAAACCTGAGGCTGCAGCCGAAACTGGCAGCTCTAGTTGTAGCTGTAGCTGCAGCTGAAGCTGAAGCTGTAGCTGGAGCTGGAGCTGAAGCTGTTGCTGTAGCTGCAGCTATTCATTTCTGCTACTAATCCGATGCGGGATTCGGTTTATTTACGAGTCGGCCTCTATGGCCATCTAATGAATGAGCACAGCCTGAAACTGAAACCGGCACTGGCGACACAACGAGTGTGAATGACTGAATGACTGAATGAATGGATGAACGAATGAATGAATGAATGGATGTGGCCCCAGGCGTCTTTGGCTTTTATGCACAAGCCATTGCTTTAACTGCAAGCACGGGCAGGGGCCGGCTTTGGTGGCAGAAAAAGCGCAGTTGGTTCTTATACAGTTTGAATTCTAATTGCACAAATGAAGCTGAGCAGCAGCCTTAGACCAGCGGGAATTCAAGGTGCGGGCTCTGTCTATATACATACATACATACACATGTATATGCATCTATGCATACTGGCTGTGTGCACAGCTGGCGGCTCTTGGCCCCAAAGTCTGCATGCAAGTTGTTTGCCCCACAAAACGCTACGAATTACGAACGGATGCAGAATGTAAAAATTATGAGAAATGCTTTCTAAACTCAAACGATTTGCGGCAATGCCAATGACGTGCAGTTTTTTTCGGTTGCAACATCATTTTCGATGCGTTGCAACTCTAGCCACAGCACCGCACCGTTTGCCCTCTAGCAGCACTGCAAAGGGTATGCCAGAGCAAGAGTATCAGAAGCTAAGTATACTGGCGCCACAAAAATATCGATATAATCGTCGATATATTCACGTAACTTTTGGAATTGAAGTGAAAAGTAGCAAGCCGGAAATACCCCTAGCCCTGCACGTTCACACTAGCTGACAGACTTTGGAACAGACACGACGGATACGGCTATATCGACACTCTGTCAGTCAAAAACTATCGATAGTCGACAGTGCGTATCATCGATTCTATTGATTGTGCTAACGATTGTTTTGCAGCATAATGTAGACAAGTCCGTGGTATTTACTAGTCATATACTCTTAATAGTTTCATTTTTATGTGTAACATTTTGGATTGTGTGGCTTCAAACTTTTTAAGTACAGAAAAGTAGTCAGATGCTGGCACTGCAGATGGCGACAATACGAGCTGTACACACCCTTATGACGATGCTGATAATTAAGATCATAATGATGCAGCGCATCCCAATTGTAATCCCTGGCCTCTTATGCTTCTCATACCTACATATATGTACCCCGTGGGACTTTCGCACATTTTTGGTGTGAAATTCTCTTTAAAGAAGCTTAACAAGAATTTAAAGTGAGTTTCCCGTGTTGTGGAGGTACGTAAGGTGCGTAAGCTTAAAATATGCCAAATTTTGCTGTAAATGTTGGCAGGCTGTAAATATTACAACGCGTCAAACATTCACACAAGTTGGAATCAAAGAATTTCAAATGTGTTTAAAGCGTGCAACATTTCTGATTAAATTTAAGTCTAATTTAAGGAAAATGTCTATCAATAGTCGTTGATTAACACTCAATGCTTATCGCAAGCAACGTGCTCGCTATCGCGGCAACAGGACACCATTAACAGATATTATAAAAAGATTTTAAATGAACTCTGGCTATGCTAATTAATGGTTTATAAGAGCTAATTTAAAGCGTGAAAAAAACCTGTTTTCTATGCAAACCATTTAACAATATAGAAACCCATTTGGGGTTCAAAAAACTCACCAGTCGAGTCAACAAAATAATTTCATTTGATTTAAATACTTGACGATTATAACATTGTAGGGGCGAACCGGCGGGAACTTGTTGCTATTTATAAACTTGAGAGGCTCCCACAGGACACAGACCCAGTCAAGTCCCCAATTGTGATTGGGGTAGGTTACAGTGAGGGATTCGGAAGATTAATTCGAGGGTGTGTCTTTGTGTGTGTGTGTAAAGGGTCAGCAACAAGCATATGCATAAGCACATGCTGAAATCTATTTCCAGATAGATGCTTAACCCCATCATTAATCTATCTTCATGGTCGTTCAATAAGCCTCCAATAATGCAAGCATTGACAACGGATTTCATTTTTCCTTTTTTCTATGCTCGTGTGGACGCGATTCCCCAGCGTCACATTGCCTTTTAGCACGCCATTGGCATGGAGAAAGGTCAATCGCATTGAAGTAGTCCATAAATAAATAAATGGCCCACAAATAAATAAATAAATTGAGTAATAGCTATAATTGACGTGCCTAAATCAAATGCGGGACGCAAAAAGACTCGTTCCTGAACTATGGATTTCTAGCAGCTAAGACGATTCCGGATTTGGATTCTGGCATCGTCAGCGCTGCGTACGTGCGAGCTTGCCTTAAATATAAAAAAAACTTCCTCTGCCCGACCAGTAGATACCCTGTACTTACACACAGAAACATACCATGCATCGACTGCACTTCTCCCTTATCCCAAATACATATACCTAAATATGGTTTCTCTAGCTCTTATATACACCTAGATGTGCTTAAAGAATCGATACTCATCGATACTTTAAAGAATGATTTAATATATATATATAACAAATCTGCTCGTTTATGATATGAGCAAATTTTTTAAATATTTTAAGACTATAAATTATATACACTTTAAGAACCAGAGATAATACCCTTTGCCTGTTACATACACTGGCAAAAAAATAGTTCACCCTTTCTACGCTTTCCTATGGGGTACAGGGTATTTAACAAAAATTGAAACATTGACCCGTTTGGTTAAGCTTGGGCTTAAGAGTGAATGACTAGACTGTTAAAAATGTGCGTAACTTCAGGCCTAATCTAAATTTATGCCGGGCTATCAAGTCACAAAGCACAATAAAGCACAAAATCAAAAAAAAGCGGCTGAGCAATTGTGGCGCACACCATCTCACATTTGATAAGAACACAACGAACAATTGTAGAAATGAATACATTTTTTTAAGCTCGCAAGTATTTAAGTAATATGAAAGTGTTGTCCTACTTCAGAAATCATACTATATCTAATAAACGGATACAGTTGCTTAATCCAAATTAAAGCTTTTAGCTTCCGTGGATTTAAAAAATAAAGTGTTTTTAGTATAACTAACACATTCTCTCTCTCTCAACATCGCATTTCTGTGCGATTTTCATAAATTCAAGTTATGCCTGCAGAATAAAGTGAGAGTGTCAAAACACTGCTAGAACATTAAATGAATATTAAATTACAATTTTTCTTGCTGTGTAG